TTCAGAGCAAAATACTGCACTGTGCAATTTCACTCCTCCAATCTCTAATGGGAATGATAGCACCAAACACTTAGCATGAGGATTTATCAGATCATGCATGTAAAAATATACAGCACTGTTTGACAAAGACGGTGTGTTCAATGATATTACTTTTTATTTTTAGCTACTATGTTCTTATAGTTATTTTTATTACTGTATTTTAATTTCACTTGAAGATAGAAAAAAGCAATACTACTATTGCCTGGTATTAATTTAAGGTAATTCAGATAAATATGGTTGCCTTTTTATAGACAATATTTAAGAAAATTAAGAACTTCAACTGATAGACAAATAAGATACAGCAAAACATATAGATTTTTCAAATCTTTAATACAGTAATTAGTGAGGAGGAAAATAAAACAATTGGATATAGAGAGAAATGTTAAAATATGTTTGGGATTATAGACTCCCTTTATTTTAAATTTATTTATTTATTATTTAAAAGACTCCATTTATTTAAAATGAGAAATAACAAATCATTTTTCTTTTCTCTGAAAAATCATTTCCTTGAGGGTACCTATTTTTGCTAATTTGAGGCAATGATGATTATACCTTGGATGAAATCCACTCAAAAAAAAAAAATAAATCTTGGTATTTGGAGACATGTCGACTTGGAAAACAGACAAATTCATGTTCCAACCACAAACTAGGTGTGTTACTACCGTGTTTCCCCGAAAATAAGACATCCTCCGAAAATAAGACCTAGCGCATGGAAAGATAAGACATCCCCTGAAAATAAGACCTAGCGCAATTTTGGGAGAAAAAATTAATATAAGACACTGTCTTATTTTCGGGAAAACAGGGTAGATGTGTGACCTTCAACATATGCCTCCCCATCTCTGAACATCAGGCTTGTACTTTATAAAAAATAAATAGTAATGCAGGCTTGTCTTGAGAACTAAATATCATGATGTTTATGTTGCAAGGTCACACATTTATTAATCCTACTACAAGCCGGGCGCATGAATTTGTGCACCAGTGGGGCCCCTCGGCCTGGCCTACAGGATAGAACCTAAACTGGCTCCCCAAATCCCTGAGGGGTCCCGGATTTCAGGATTTCGAGGGGAGCGCAGGCCAGGCTGAGACCCCCCACCAATGTACAATCGGTGCCAGGGAAGGATGCAGGGGGTTGGCCAGCCAGGTAGGAACTGTGGGAGGGCTCCAGGGCATGTTTGGCCTGTCTTGCTATATCCAAATAGGCCGGACCCCAGCAGCAAGCTAGCCTATTGATTTGAGTGTCTGCCCCAGGGTGGTCAATGCACATCATAGCAAGTGGTTGAGAGGCATATCATTAGCATATTACGCTTATTGGTTGGACAGATAACCAGACATTTAGCATAGTAGCCTTTTATTATATTATATTCTCAGATACACAAAGGAGGTATACCTTCTTCATATTCTATAATTAATCTAAACTTTCGCTGGACACCTCACTTCTCACATTCTAGGAAAGCAAACAAAGAAATATCAGAACAATATAATAAGCTCCATCCCACCCAATAGTTTAAATACTTTCTTTTGGAAGAATAATTAGTGGACATTTCCTTCTCCTTTCCTGATTCTTTCCAAAATGTGATCTAGAAATGTGGTGGTTGGGGAGGCTAATGCAAACTCCTAGCAGCCAATGGATGTTTAGCATGTGGAGGAACACTTCTCCTTATTTGCCCAGAAGATAGGAAAGTGCTATTTCACTTTACTGGCACTAACCTCATGAGAAGGGACTATGGACCTTGAGTAACTCTGAGATGCCTGACTTCCCTTGGGCCCAATCAAAATATCTTCCTAGTCACTGAAAAATTAGGCTTAACTAATCAGGAGTCTGACAATGAATTCCATCTATTTTATCCTGTATGCTAAAATGGTATTAAGTACAGCAAAACCACCACGAACACTTTCTAGTATTTAAAACCCTAGTCTTTTCCTCCTGAGTGAATGATGCACCGAATTTCTTCAGTGGTGGTATGATCCCTTGCCTGACAACATTTTTTTTTTTTTTTAGCTGTAAGGATATTTGTTTTATTCTTTGACAATGTGTTGGCACCTTCTCATGTGAAGTTGGTTCCACTCCATCTCTGACTCTTCTGGTGTTACTGGCTGGGTAATTCTGCATGTTTAGGACTTTAAAGCTATTCTCTATTTCCTAAGAGTGTGGTGTCTTTCTTGACAGTTGGACCCCTTCAAGGTAGTGGGGCTGCCTGCAGATGCTTCCTTTCCTGGCCTGGAGGTTTTCTATCTAGCATTCAGACAGGGACCCTTTACCTAAGGTTCTGATGATACACACCGGCAAGTTTCCCAGTCAGATTAACTTCACTGGCACCCCTCGCCTAGCAGCCAGTAGGAGCCTATTGGTCCTTCCACACCACATGGGAACTTCATTGGCCTGGAAGCACCTTCTATAATATTTGCTAATCCTCCAGTTGTGGAGGGTTACAGCATCTATGTTCGTAAGGGATATTTGCCTATAGTTTTCTTTCTTTGTAGTGTCCCTTCCTGGTTTTGGACTTAGGATAACACTGGTCTCATAAAATAAGCTTGGGAGTCTTCCCTGCTTTTGGCTATGGTGGGATAGTTTGGGAAGGAAATGTTTTAGTTCTCTTTGAATATTTGGTAAAATTCACCTGTGAAGCCACCTGGTCCAGAACTTTCGTTTGTTGAAAATTTTTTTCATTAGTGTTTCAATTTCATTAGTTGTATTCAGTTTAATCAGAGGTTTTGATTCTTCTTTTTATTTTATTTATTTATTTATTTATTTATTGTATTTTAAATAACTTTTAAAAAACATTTTTTTGCTGAAGTACAGAACTGCCATTTTATTTCCAGTTTTTATTTTATATTTAGCAGGCTTGTTGTTGAATATGCTTGAGTTCTAATAGCTTATGTGTATGTTCTCTTATATTTTCTATGTAGAAAATTAGATTTTGAACAATGATAACTATTATTTTTTAATTATTCTTTTTTTCTTTCTTTCTTTCTTTTTATTTATTTATTTATTTATTTAATTTTATTTTTTTATTATGGTCTTACATAATTGTCCTTATTCCCCCATTCTTATCCCAAACCCTTCCCTAGATATGCCCCACCAAACCCCCATTGTCCATGTCCACTGGCTAGGCCCATATGTATGCACACAAGTCCTTTGGTTGATCTCTTCCCCTTACCCCCATCCTCCCTTACTTTCCCTCTGAGGTTTGAGAGTCTGATCGCTGGTTCTCTTTCTCTGGGTCTGTTTATGTTGTTCATTATTTCCTCTAGATGTGTGAGATCATGTGATCCAAGAAATAGCCTTGTAAGAACTTAAATTGCAACAAGCCATAATGGTTATGCTGAGAGGCAAATGAATCAGTCTGTAGTGAGTTCCTTTCTGGGCCAACAGTTCTTTTGAGTCCCAATTTCAATGCCAGATAGTTCCTTATGTGTACATGCCAGCCATGATATTTCAAATCTGGTTGGTGGACAAATGGTGGTAATTGATTCAGTTTGGAAAATTATATGTTTCTAGGAATTTAGTCATTTTATCCAGATTGCCCAATTTGTTAATATAACATTTTTGTAATATTTTGTTAAAATTTCTTATATTTCTGTGGATTCAATTATTACTTCTCTTTCATTTGTGATTTTATTTATTTTTGTCTGCTCTTCTTTGTTTTTCTTGATGAGTCTGGTTGTGCTTATGATATTAAATCTCAGTGCATTATATCAGCAATTTTCAAACTTTTCCACCTCATGGCACACATAAACTAACTACTAAAATTCTGTGGCACACCAAAAATTATCTTTTGCTAATCTCACTAAAACAATGGATACATTTTTTTATTCATTCATAATAGATAGCTATTGTGTTGGCTGTTGTCTTTTATTAAAAATATGTTTTTACTGATTTTTTTTTGAGAGAGAGGAAGGTTGAGAGCGATAAATATCAATGAGAGAGGGAAACATCTATAAGGGAAAGAAACATCAATCAGTAAGCACCTGACAAACCCACAACTTGGATATGTGCCCTCACTGGGAATTGAACCCAGTGACCTTTCAGTCACAGGACATTGCTCAACCAACTGAGCCACACTGGCAGGACACCTGTTGTCATTTCTTTATATGATAATCTAAGGGAAAAGTGGTCAGTGCTCCTGCTAAACAGTCAGGCATTGCATGTTTAAAAAAATCTTGCTGCACACAGTTGAAAATTGCTACATTATCCGATATATGACTGGCCAAACACTAAAACAAGTGATTCTAGATCTTATAAAGGGGACCTTAATTGTTAGGATTATCTAGTTGTTTTGTAAAACAAAAACATATACAACACTGCCCATGAATATCTTATCTGTGTAAGAAGTACAAATTATTCCAGATATGTATATCTGGAATAATATTATGAATGCCTGTTTACTATGTAACTGTTATACCATTTTAAGCTATTCTAACAGATACCTACTGTTAGTTTTCAATGATACTGTTACCATCAGGGATTGGAACCCCAGAGAACTCAATATTCTGGGCTTTTCTTGCCTCCTCTTAGAAGCAGAGTTTTGGTTAAGCAGTCTCTGAGGTTATATGTATGTCTTCCTAGAGACACTACAACAATGGTCCAGGAGGGATGTGGAAACTTACTAAGGACACACGAAAAGGAGAAACATAATAAAAAACCTTTTTCTGAGATATCACCCTGCATGGAATTCTGCTGTGAGAGCTTGAGACTTTCTTTATGTTCTACACTCAGAACTCAGGTATCAGCTCCCCAGCTGGCAGTTCCCTCTCTCAGAAATGAAGGGTAAAAGTCAGAAAAGAGCTGAAAATTCAGAGGGAAATTAAATTGCTTACAATTGAGATGAAAATGGAAGGAAAGGTGGAGTCAAACTCTCCAGGACAAGGCTCTTATTCCTGGATTTTTGATGGAAAGGGAACTATGTGAACTGGTTGCCAGGACAACCTGCTGTTGGGGCAAGAGCGGTTGTGGCAAGGCAATGGGAGACCTTTGGCTGTTCCTGCTCCTGCCTCTGTCCTTGGCAGCCTTCCATGGAGTCAAGGGCTGCTTGGAATGTGACCCCAGATTTATAAAGGATATTAAGTCATTGTTGGCAAAGTTGGTATCCTCGGAAGTCCCTGGCCGAACTCAACTGCTTCACAGGCAGATTAAAGAGATGACCAATTTAAGCTTCAAGGTCTCCCACGGGAACAAGATGCTTAGGCTGTTGGGTGAGGGAAGCTTGAGACCCTAAGAGTTTGAGGGTGAAAGGGAGAAGGGAGGCATGGAAGAGAGCACCTTGGTCCACTTAAGATCCTCCAAAGATATACAAATTCCCCAACATGTATGTTTACCTTTCTTTTCTAGCTGTTCAAAGGGTTGTCTATTTGAGAACATGGCTGAAGAATGAACTTTATAAAATGAGCAATAAAACATGGAAAGGTGAGGTTCTGTTTCACTTTTAAAAGACTGTATTGCCCAAGGAAATATGAGAAGAGTCCCCTTGGGAAAACAAGGCAAAACAGTCAGGACTAAATCCTGAAGGGAAGGGCCACCCTTATTTTCTGATGTCCCTTCCACCCACTCTTAGGTGTCTTTATCCTTCAAGGCAAGCTTCTTGATGTTCGCCAAAACCTGGAATCCAAACTGAAAGAAGCATTAAAGCACTTCTCTAAAGCTGGTAATAAAATATGTCTATCTAACAACACTGACATTATGAGAGAGCAATAGGAAATGAGGGGTGAGAGAAGAAATGTAGTTTCACATGAGGGAGATTTAGAATGGTTAGGGGATGGCTGGAGCTGAATGGATAATCAGACAAAAACTACTTGGGTATAAATATGAAGACCTCCAAGTTGATTCTAAGCTCATTAGACATTTCTGATTCTCTTTCAGCTTGTTCTGAAGATTGCGGTGAGTATAGTGCATGTGATGCCTTGAGGTTAGCTCATCATTTCCCACCTCCTTTGCTCTCTATGATCTGATCTCTCCTACTTGTCCCATTGAGAACCCAGTTCCCAGAGTAGTGGTTCCAAGAAGAAATGTCAATGACACCTGACTACAAAATTTAGCTTATGAAATCTTTGATCGCTCACAGAGTGTGGAGGAGTTCAGAGGCCTCCTGAAATATAGTTTACAACCCATAGCACCCGTGTAGTTAAGGCATCATTTTCCCACTTCTTCACCTACCATCTGACTTAAATTATGGGAGGTTTTGACCCATCAGAAACTTGTTTACTAGGGGAAGAAGGAATTCGCAGATGTCTGAGCTAAGGAAATGCCATGCCATGCTCCCCTCCAATTGTCTTACTTCTCTTCTCAGTCCTGAATGAAGGTCCTGTCCTGGATTGTTGGAACTGTCATCGCATCACCACTCACTGCTTCAAAGGAGAGTATTGTGGAGGTAACACAGACTGTGGTGTGGCATTTTGAGGGGTCAGTAATCAAGGTAACAAGCCATTCATTGATTCAGTCAACAAATATTTGTTGAGCACCTATTATGCAGTGCATGCTAATGTTACAAATACAGAAAAAGCCAAAATATTGAACAAAATTTGTATATCAGCATGAACTATGGGCACTGGACCACTTTAATGCCTGAGAAATACAATGTCTGGATTAAAGGTTGAGAAATTAGCTAACACAGAAAGAACAAAAGTTTCCTAGAACCTAAGGGTCTAATAATATTAAAGATCACAGGAATCAGAAAATTGTGATGGAATTAGTGAACAGAGCAGACAGTTTGGGGTTAAAAAGAATCTTCTACTATGCATAAAGTTCTCAAGTTACTATTTTTCTTCTCCAAAACTCACTATTTTTACTTTATTTTTATTGTTTACATTTGTTGGGGAGCACAAGAGACTTGGTTGGAAAGTTGTAAGGAGGACATTCTGATAAAAGGGACGTGTGTGTGTGTGTGTGTGTGTGTGTGTGTGTGTGTGTGTGTGTGGAAGGCTGCCTGCCCTGTTTATGGGAATTCCAACTTAGGGGAGATTTAGGAAGTGTGGAAGACAGGTGGAACCCCTAATTATTCCTTGTCCTTTCCAAACAAGTCTATGCATATGCAGACTCCCCAGGTGTTTACTGGAATCCTTATGCCTAATCCCTGGATGCCCTTGCCTAGAGGACAATGTAAACACATGTCTGCCCAAGATTACTCACCCTACGGATTTTATCTAAAGATAAAAATTCCAATAAAAGCCTAAGAGGTAGGCAACCCAGGCTCCCAGTCTTCTTCAGAAGGGCCTTTCCTTAGCCCTTTCCCCAACAATGACACTGTATTTGAGTAATCTGTTCATGGGGCTGCTGGTCAGCCCCAGCATATATTGTTACAGATACCTCCATTTACCATCCCCCTTTGCCTACCCTTTCCACCTTCCTCCAAACCCCCTTCCTTCTGCCCATCACCACACTGCTGTCTGTGTCTATGGGTTATACATATATTCTGTGCTTAATCAATTCACTTTTTTTCCCCCTTCCAGAAGAGGATTCAAGGAAGCATGAGAATCGAGAAATTGGGCTATTTTTGATATTGATAACAGAAGCTGTAATATTGGGAAGTGCTTTGTTACTGTGAGTTTTCCTCCCTCCAAACACTGGGTTAAGCATTCCTTTAGCAAAGAAACTGTCTAATCTTACCCCTCCTTCCAATGGAAAGAAGGGAAAAGAAATCACTTCAAACTTTGGGTATGATACTGACAGGAAATCTGATGGGGATAAAAGTGAAGGGAAGTCTGATGGGGATAAAAGTAGAAACCAAGGAAATGGAGGAGGTACAATGAAATATAAGGAAAACCTTTGGAGAGTTAGAAAGGGTTAAAAAAAATACAATTTGTATAATTGTTTTAGAGGGTTGGGCTACTGATATTGCACTTGGAATTATCTTGTTTCCCTACTCTAGACTCTATGTTTGTGTCACTCATCAGAGAAAAATGAAGGCAATACGAAAGTCACTAGAGAATTATTTGGAGAAGAAACTTGAAGAATTAATGGGGAAGACAGATAAGAAGAACAAGCAAGATTTTGGAATCAGAGAATAAATACAAAATCATGGACAGAAGATCTTTCATAATCATCTCTAAAGTGTTACTCAAGAAGAAAACTGGGAATTAAGTTCTTTTGTGGTCCTAAAATCACAGCATTTTTAAACAAATAGAACTTAGAATTTCTCTAGTACAGATCCATTCATATCCTGAGGCAATGGAATCAGTGAGAGGGCAAATGCTCTCCCAGATTGTACAGAAAGTTTCAATGAACACTTTAAAAAGTAATACACTGTATTCTTTAATAAAAAAAAAAAATGCCTTGTTGGTAACTCTGCTGTAAGTCGAATAACTTTACATTTCTAGGCTGCTTTTATTTCTATCTTTTCATTTTGCCACTATTTCTAAAACTGTCTATATTAGGTTTAATGTGACAATTTGCTTTGATAATACGTAACATTTACTCTTCATTTTGACATCATATGGACACATCATGATTTCCAAGATATAAGCTCTGAGTAGTTGAGGTTTAACGAGTCTTTCCCCCCTAACTCTATGCTCCATGACTGAATTTCATATTAATTTCTGATTGTTGTAGCTGTTTCTATTAAATATTATTTTGTGTATAGTACATTAATTAGTGCTTTGCATCTATCATCTAATTGAATTTTTGCAATAATCTTATAAGTAATATTGTTATTATATCCATGTTAGAGATGAGGAAACAGGAAATATCTAACTCAAGGTCACATAGCTACTAATCTAGGCTATGACAAACTCCTCTGGTGGCTGACCTTTGCTTATCCAAACCACATAATAGGTACTAACAGCTACAGTCATGGATACAATCTATAATAATAAAAGCATGATATGCTAATTAGACCAGACATCCTTCTGGATGACCTGGTGCACAGATTCATGCACCGGTGGGGCCCTCAGCCTGGCCTGCAGGGATTGGGCCAAAACTGGCTCTCTGACACCCCCCCAAGGGGTCCCGAATTGTGAGAGGGTGCAGGGCAAGCTGAGAGACGCCAATGGTGCAAGATCAAGGCTGGGGAGGGACCACAAGAGGGCTCTAGGGCATGTCCATCATGCCTTGCCCAATCCTAATCGGCTGGACCTCAAAAGAAACTAACCTACTCATCAGAGTGTCTGCCCCCTGGTGGTCAGTGCACATAATAGTGACTGGTCAAATGGTAGAAGGGTCAGACTCTCAGCATATTAGGCTTTTATATATATATAGATTGTAAATAATTACATAAATGGGATAACATACCTGTTAGGGTTTGAGTGTTTTTGTGACTCTTCATTTGCTTTGAGTGCAAGCTTTTAAATTTCTTATCCTATCAATTTATCATCCCCTCCCCACTACTTTCCCTCTCCAATATCATTACAGTCTACAAAATCTAGGTAATAATTAAAGTAATAAATAGACCAGAATATATAGAAACAATAAACTAAATGAAACTAACAACATAACCTTGACATAAAAAAACAACAACAAAAATATTGACACAACTTCCACAGTCATCATGGGAAAGTTTGGTACATATGTCTTAGAATCTTATAAAGCTAAAGAAAAAGAAATATTAATACAATTACAGATTTCTATAACACAATAAAAAACCTTAAACTATTAAAATTGCTTATATTTAACCCTATACCCTTGTAAAATAAATATTTTCTTCTTTCTAATACAGATGGAGCATTGATAAAAAATATATATATATCAATGTATTATAGTTGGTTTGGCAGAAGGTAGCTAATTTTCTCCTAACTAAATTCCCATTCCTCCTGGATACATGGCTAGCATTCTCTAGAGTTAGGTGGGGCCATGTTACTGAATTCTGACCAACAGAAGATGAATATAGGAAGTGATATAGTTGATTCCATGTCTAGCATATATAAACTTAAAGGAACAATCCTCCAGCCTGTTCCTTCCCTGTCCAATGGTGGATGTTAATATCCAGGAATATCTGAGAATACCAAAGACACCTCTGATTTGGCGCATCAATTTTGTATTTCATAAAAGTTTCAATTGAAAGCCTATTTCATTAAGCTTTTATTGAGATTTTAGAATCAGCATTACATATTTACATAATATACTAATTATGTTATGCAAAGGCCAAAAAAATTTCAATAAATTCCTAATATAAAGAATCATTTCCAGATTACAGCAATAAAATTAAAAACTAACAACAATTGATAAAAAAAAAATATCATGTGTATTTAAATAGTAAAAATTGTATTTCTACATAATTTAGGATTTTAAAATGAGAGGACAAAGCCTTCCAGCTTTCCCATTGTGTGGCTATAGTCTTTACACTGAACTCTTAGAGCATGCTCAGGTTCCCCTCACGAAAAACTTATTTCTCACAGTCTTGGTGAAAGTATGTCTTCTGACCTCTCCCACTGTTGCTTGAGGGAACCAGTTTTACTGTGGGTGGAAAGATCTCATCAAGATTTAAGGGCTCAATGTCCCAGCTTCATCAGGTTTTCCTTATACACACCCATCCCAATTTACAGGAACCATTCTTTCCTAGTTAATGTCCTCACTTTAACAGTAGAAACCTTACAAGGCTGGTAATTCAGCTTGTATTGCAATTCAGCCAATGGCAGAATGAGGTGTTTGATTTTCAGCAATTTCATTCCTGCAACTACAGGAAATAAGGCTCATCTTCAGCAAGAAACAGCTTGAGCTGAGAATTTGAATCCCTGAGCTCATCCTTTTCTTTCACTACTTTGTCTAGCAACATAGGAGTGATCAATCAACATCAATATGTTCCTTCGTATTTGAAAAAAAAAAAATGTTTCAATGTATCATATACAGAATCACCTAACTTCTTGCTTTTTAGAAGTAGTTGATTAGGAAAATCTAATGCAGATATTTTATATATCTCTATAACTAGTTCATACCATGGACCATCAGTGCTCTCTGTACTACTAGAAATAGTCATCAGCATCTTTACATTTAATCAGATTACAGAGCCAAGTCCAGAAATCCCAAAATCAATTCAGAAAACTCATCCTTATAATTCTGTTACTCTAGAACTACTTCCAGTATAGAAACCTGTATTAGCCAGGGTTCTTCAAAGAAACAGAGCCAATAGGATATGGAGACACAGATGTGTAAGAGGAGATATATTATGGAAATTGAATCACTCTCTTATAGAGGCAGAGATATGCCACAACATGAAGTCTGGGAGCTAGAAAATCAGGAAAGCCAGTGTTATAATCCAGTCAAACTCCAAAGGAAGCTGCAATAGTGTTATTAAAAACCTATAATACCAAGGTATTCAATGTTAAATTCCAAGCTATTCCACATAGTCTTACTCTTTTGAAAAGTTTTATTTGAGATTCTGACTTCGGGTTAAATTCCCATCAACTTTAAACTATGATTCTTTAATCTGAACATTTTAGTGCAATTGTCTAAACTAATAAAAGAGAAACATGCAAATTAACCATCATTCAGGTATGCCAAGCCATACCCACCAGTCTATCAGGAGCAAGTATGCAAATTAACCCAACCAAGATGGCTGCCAGCCACAGAGCTGGAGCAAGCAGGAGGCTTGGGTTGCTCCTGGCAATAGAGGAAGCCAAGCTTCCCACCCCTCCTGGCTGGCCCTGTCCTCAGCTCAAAGCTACAAAGTTTCAATTATAGAAGATAAATAAATCCTAGATACTTGCTTCCACCTGGCACTGGCCTCCATTCAAGGAGTTACTGAAATAAAGAAGGAAGAAAGAAAGAAGAAAGAAAGCAAGAAAAAAAAAGAAGGAAGGAAGGAAGGAGGGAGGGAGGGAGGAAGGGAGGGAGGGAGGGAGGGAGGGAGGGAGGGAGGGAGGGAGGGAGGGAGGGAGGGAAGGAGGGAGGGAAGGAAGGAAGGAAGGAAGGAAGGAAGGAAGGAAGGAAGGAAGGAAGGGAGGGAGGGAGGGAGGGAGGGAGGGAGGGAGGGAGGGAGGGAGGGAGGGAGGGAGGGAGGGAGGGAGGGCTGGGATCTTGGGTCACCAGGGGGTGATCAGGCCAGAATGGGAATACAAGGGCCATTGGAGATAAGCAGTCCAGCAGGGAGGCCAGGCAAGGGTGAGCAGGCCATCGGTGGGGGTCAGTTGGAGGTGATCAGGACAGCAAGGGGTGCAGTTTGGAGTGAGCAGCCAGCAGGATGGCAGTTGGGGGGGGGGGGGGGGACAGTTAGGGGTGAGCAGGCCAGTGGGAGGAAAGGTGGGGGCAAACAGGCCAGCAAGGGGGACAGTTGGGGGTGATCAGGCTGGTGGGGTACACTTAGGAGTGAGCAGGCTGGTGGCGGGGAGCAGTTGGGAATGAGCAGGCCAGCAGGAAGAGTGTTTACGGGCAATCAGGCAGGTAGGCAGGCAGGCAGGATAGCAGCTGGAGCCAGCAGTCCCAGACTGTGAGAGGAATGTCTGACTGCCGGTTTAGGCCTGATCCATGTAAACCGGCAGTAGGACATCTTCTGAGGGGTCCCAGATTGGAGAGGGTGCAGGCAGTGCTGAGGAACACCTACCCACCCCCTCATGCATGAATTTCATGCACCAGGCCACTAGTTTTAAAATATAAATCCAAAATGTAATCTGCATTGTTTCTGGAATCACCATTATGAGGAGGGGCTGGTTGTTATGTGTTTTTAGAATTTTATAATACAATACAATGAGAATGATCTAATTAAATTGTGTCATTTACTAGAAAAGGTCTTGTGCTACTTGTTTCTAAATGTAAACATGATACAAAATTAATTGCTTACAATCCTAATTTAAGTTTGAGCTAACAGTTAACATAAAAATAGATATGTAAAAATGTCTTTCCAACAGGCAAAAATTTATTTATAGAAACAATGAAACAATACAAATAATTTTATTCCTGGAACAATTATATACTGAGAGCTAACAACACATACTACAATGTCCCAATGTCAACTCTGCAGGAAGTTCATTTCTAACATTTTCCAAAGTATACAAGTCAGTAGAGGAACATACTTCATGGACAGAGACTCTGGCACAGATAAAATAGAATTTTAAAGACCCCATCATTCTTGGGGTTACTT